TCAGTGATATCTTTGGGTCTGTATTCTGGGTTGTAATCTTGTTCCTGTAGATATGTAAGGCAGGCATGGATGCCATCCTGGTGTGGGATGTTGGTGTATAGGCTGGTAACGTCCATGGTGGCTAGGAGTGTGTTGTTGGGAAGGTGGTCTATGTTTTTAAGTTTCCGTAGCAAGTCTGTGGTGTCTTGGACAAAACTTGCTCTGTGGGTGACAAGTGGTTTTAGGATGGATTCAACAAAACCTGATATTTCCTCAGTTAGGGTTCCATGGTTGGATATGATAGGTCTGCCAGGGTTCCCTTGTTTGTGGATTTTAGGGAGCATGTAAAAAGCCCCTGGGTTAGGTAGCGGGGGGATCAAAGTCTGTAGTTTTTCTTGTAATCTTGGTGGAAATGATTTGATGGTATTGTTGAGTTTTCTGGTGAAAAGGGGAGTAGGATCTTCTTGTAGTTCTTTGTAGTAGGTGGTGTCAGAGAGCTGTCTGTTGGCTTCCTTTATGTAATCCTCACGGTTTAGGATGACTATGGCTCCTCTATCTGCTGGTTTTATTACTATTTGGTGGTTAGATCTTAGAGATTCTATGGCCTTTTTCTCTGGTAGAGAGAGGTTGTTGTGGTGGCAGCGAGTGTTGCTGATTATTTCATTGTTCATTCTTTCCCTGAAGTAGTCAATGTAGCGGTCAAGGTTAGGGTTTCGTCATCATTGAGATGATCTGTGCATTCATGGTGAAGGAAGAACACAGCTGCAGTATGGAAACAATGTACTCTCCCAGGAGTGAGGAGGTGGTGGCTTTCTGAGTCATTGTTTCCTTCTTAGGGTAGTGCATATACTTACTGGTCCATACACAGGATGGGATATAAATCTGCAGTCTATCCCTTCACTGATTAATAAAATTAAATAAAATAAAAAAAGAAAACTAAAGGGGCAAGCATCATTATGTCCACTTATTTCATGTGGGCAGCAGAAGTTACTGGTGAAGCAGATTTGAAATCAAACCTGGGACCTAATTCAGTTCCCATTTAATTAGAATTGTCATGGTCCTTAAGGGGAAAAAAGGGAAACCCTGGTCTCTTGCAAAGTGTTCATCTTATTCCATAAGATCATATTTCCAATTTCTCTCTCCAATGCAAATTCCCCGCAGGAAAACTATTTCTGATGTCGTGTGTCTTCCACTTAGAGTCTTGTTTCTGAAAGCTTTAAAAAATTGCAAAAGCTTTGATATGATGGACAATGCCACACGCAGATATATATATAATCCAAACCCTGAGGATGAATCCAAGCCAAGCTCCTTATTATGCAAGCATTAGTGGGTTTTTTTCCTGGTGAGGCCGAGGGCTAAATGGAGGCAAAATTGCTGCAAGGATAGCTCTAAGAAACACCCACATGAGGAAGTGAAGTGTTAAAAATATTAAAGAGTAGGGACCAAATCCCTGAAGCTTCTCTAGCTGCTATCCAAAACCTGCACATCATTATTTATTTCAAGCAGTGAGTGTTTGAAGTGAGTGAGCACCACTACTTTTTATGGCATTGGATTTGGACATGCTTCCCTTCTCTCTCTCCTAACCTCAGCACCTATTTTGAAGCTCTAAAAAAGGATGTATCCAGGCAAACATC